CAGTTTTCCTTTCACAAATCAACAGCACGGTCACACCAACAACAACAACAACAATAGCAGCAACTTTAACTTCAAAGTCACAAATTAAAGCGTGTCCAAGTCCAAAACTGTCAGAGGGGCGTGCTACTGTGTCAAGAAAAAAAGAAAATACAGCCCATAAGACCTCTGATGAAGTATCTATCAGATAGATATGGCTGAATAGCGCAAAATATGGCGAACTAGTTAATAAATTTCAAATTCATGTCGCAGCTATTTGTATAGAATTTATTGCGACCAATTCAATGCTAAGCTGCCTTTTGTGTAAAGATTTCAACAAAAACTAAAACTAGGCTATGATTCAAAGAAACCAAAAGTGACCATCAAAATAAAAGCTGGAAACCGGCCTAGTATGAGATTGACTTTAAACTTATTTAAATTTCTTTTCGCACTTTCGTTGAATAACAATAATATCGAAAAGGTATGCCAACTAACCTCAATTGTTAAGAATAAATGATTAATGTTTATATTTGCCATACTAGTTTGAGAAAAACTTTGAGCTTATTATTTAAAGTTTTGTGCAATGAAACTGGTTCTATTAAGTTATATTTACCATATTAGTTTGGGACAAAATTAATGCATATTTTTCAAAGTTATCAACAATGCAACCAGTTATATTAAGATTGCTGTACTGACCTCAATTGTTAAGAATTAATGATTAATGTTTACTTCAAGTTTAAGAAAATCTTAAGGTTTATTATTAAAAGTTTTGAACAATATAACGAGCTCTTTTAAGCCCTATTTTCCACATTATTTTAAGACAAACTTGATGAATATTTTTCAAAGTTATTTAGAATGCAACGAGTTCTATTAAGATTGCTTCACGCGCTATGATTGTTGAAGTTGCATTTTTTGTAGCTGTGGTTCCAGGATCAACCAATACATTAGTGTCTATCTACAGGTCTGGTCTTCTATTTTCGTTCAATTAATCCATAATTTGCCGACTTGAATGAAATCTTTAACCCTAACTAAATATTTGCCAAACAAGTAAATTACATTTGAAATTTTATTAAGCATTGCTTAGCTGGTAGTCAACCAACATGGAAGCAAAAACTAAATTATAGATAACATTTTTATTTAAAATCTTTTTAAGCTTTTTACTATTAATATAATTCCCACATTATTTATATTGTTTTTCTTATTGAGTATTTAAAGATCTTCTTTTTTTTTTGAAGTTTCTCTGCAAAGATTTGCTAAAATTTTTCATTGTATTTGCAAAAAAAAATTTGCAAGCCAGCCAATATTTGGGCACCGCTAGCTTAATCAAATGATGCTATGAAATTTAATTGCTTTATTAATTATTTACAACCGCTATCTAAATTACTCTTTCAATTCTTGTTTCTCTTCTTTCTGCTTTTTTTTTGTCGTTTTCTTCAAATTATGCTGTTGGGCGTAATTGTGGTTGGTTGGTTGGCCTCTTTGAGTTCTTCTGGACGCTCCCACAGCCTCTTGAGGTAGCTTTTGTAGTTGATTTGTTGTCGTTGGTAAATAATTGCGGTACATAATTTATTTATTGTTCAGTTGCGTGCCTACACACGTTCTAAATACATACATACAAAAGTCAGTGCTGACTTCATTTGGATTTCATTTCTTTTGTCTGACTGTCGAGTCAACTGGGCGGGTGGTCGCAAATCATGAGAACTGCTCGCCATGCAAATCTAAATCCGAGCATTAGGCATTTGTGATTATGAGTGGCGCAGAATTTCTCCAGATGGCTGTAATTTTATTGTGCTGGCAGGGTATTAAAGAAAGTGCCAACTTAATTGTGATTTTCGGCTCTGGGCCAAACACAAAGAGTGAAATTTTTCACAGACATAGAATATTTATACGTCTAAAGAGTGGCAGTTTCTCTTAAGAAATTATAAAAGCCTTGCAGTTCTAAAACAACTAATTTTTTTCAGATTTCATGACCAACTTGTTGGCATGCAAATCAGTCCAATAAATTGAATTAAAAGTCAGACAAGAGGCAGCAAAAAAAAACATGTCAACTGCAAGTGATTTAATGTGTGAAACTGAAATTCAGTTTTATTTTTGGTTTTTCGAGAAAGTTTTTAGCCATGCAGTCGCACACTTGGCATTAAGATAATGGCTTGATTAACAGTTGTCAGCGCTGTGCATGGGAACGTGAGTAAAAATAGAGAAGCAGAGAGCTACTAAAGAATGGGGTCTAATTAGCTCGAGCTTAGCCAGGCCTCATGCAGTGCGCAAACAGTTGTTGGCTCCAATTTGATTTTTGCATGCAGCCTGCAACAGGCGAGCGCTAATCACGTTCTTAATGAAAGTGGATTTCGTGCCACGGCTGTGGCAGCAACAACATGCCACAGCAACATCTTGAGCCTCTTAGTCTTGGCCTCAGTTTAAGACTTTTTGTTGCACTCTCTCACTGGCAATGACCGTCATTTGAATTCAAAGTTGTTTGCCTGTTTGTTTGTTTGTTTGTTTTCGCAGGCAACCGGCCACACTAGCTGGCAAGAGGGTGGGATTGAAAAGTTTTTATTCTAATTAAAGAAAATTGTCTAAGAGCATTTAAAAAAAATCTCTTTTAATTTATCATATTCTTAGCATTTTAATAAGTATTTCTAAGAGAACTATTTCCATATTAGTACATAAATATTTTCAATAATACTTCTAATCCTCCTATACTTTTTTAAGCATTTAATAAATGAATTACATATTCAAAAATGTTAAACCAATTTTGAGCGGCATTTAAGTTTTAGAGTTCATAAATATTGTAGTTTCGTTTCTATTCACACCTCCAATTTGCAGTCAAATCAATCATTAGGGAATGTTCGCTTCCCACTTTCATTTTTTTTCCTCGACCACACAACATTAAACATGCTTATTTTTAATCAATTGAATATTTGAATATATTGAATATTTTTAGTTAGTCTTTAATAGATTTCATTTCATTCAATCTAAATATACTTTCCTTAGCTTTTTAGCATCGTAGAGAATAGTGTTTCAGTGTTGAGTCTATTTATATCATTTTTCATTTATTTAGGGGTGCTCTTCATTATTTTTGGTGACTTTTTTTCCCATTTCTGTCTGCAAATTGATTTGTTAAATTGTTAATATCACAACTGTTGGTAAACTTTTCACCCCACCCTCGCACGGTGCTCCATTCTGCAGACTGTGCCGATTCTAAGACCAGTTTTTCCCTTTTTCCTCCTCCTCCCGCCCCTCCCACTGTTTATTTTGGTGCTTTTGATTATTATTATTATTTACACCAGTGACCGACGCCGTTCAAGTGCCTGTTCATTTGTCCAGACCATGTGTGATGTGTGTGTGTGTGTGGCAAGCACTTAAAGTCTTAGCTGTTATTTATTTATTGATAAGTGCAATTGTCGACAGGATGAACACGATACAAGTGTCTGAACATATACGTGTATGTACACTTGTTTGGCCTATTTCTGAAAATCTGTATCGATATATCAAAGCCATAAAATCATTTGATGCTCTACAAGTGGTGTGTATGGGAATTGTAAGCAAAAAACAAAAATAACACCTATTTTGCAGCCACGGTTTAATGACATGGCGCCAAGCAAAGGGGAAAAACATTTCGAGATTATTAAGGCTAATAAGACAGGAAATTATTGAACTATTTATGGTTATCATAAAACAAGTTCGTTTTCTGGTCTTCAGCAAAAAATGTCTTATCCCATTATTTCTAAGAGTACATTCTGCGTATAAAATCTGATTCTTATTTATGGGAAGAAACAATAATAGTATGATTAATGACACAAATATAAACCTTAAAATTTTATATAATATTCAAAGACGAATATTTTAAAATTTCGAATGGAAATTACATGCTCTTCGTGGCAAGTAAAAGTAAATAAATGGGTAGGTTGTTATGAGTTGAACGCCAATTAAATTTTAATAATAAATTACTTAGTACAATGAATAATCCAAATCAGTTGTAAAGTAAAGCAAGAAGTATTTAACTTTCTCATTAACTAGTGTCATAATATATTAAATATTAAAAACAATATATTACTTAAAACATAAATGCAATTGGGTCGATCTATTTTTAATCTTTTAAAGTTGATATAAATAATAATATTAGTCAACAAATGAGCCCCGGTCTAAGCCGATAATGGCTATAAGTTAAATAATTCAATGTAAATAAATGAAAATATAGAAAGGTAGATATGGCATAGATTTGTATAACACCAAGAAAGAGTGTTTTTATCACTTCTAAAAAAGAAGACACACAGTTTTGAAATGCCTTGAGTTTGTTACTGAAGCAGCTGTGATGACATTTAAATAAATTTCCAGCTAATTCTGCGAAGTCTCTAAAAACATCTTTAAGTAGATAATCAAAATAATTAAAATAACTTCACATTTCGAAAATTTGCTTAAAAAATGAAAGTATTTTCTTTGAGCCAACAAACCAACCAGATATTTATCTAAAATAGTTGTAATAAACAAGACCCTTGGCCTCTGCTTACTCATCTACTCTCTTTTTTGTTTGCAGCCAACAACAACAGCAACAACAGCAACAATTAAAGACGACGCCGCGTATTCTTCACATTTTTTCACGGTTCATTAAGAGTCTGGAGCACAACATTTGCACTTAACGACGCATCGGGGAAGAGCGACGTGTTCTATATGCCATACTACATATACTATAGCATAGCAATTGTGCGGGTAATACATATCTAGTTCTGCTTCTTCTTCGTCTTGGACTTGCTGTCATTGTTGTTGTTGTAATTGTGGTACGCCTGAGCATGCGCTGGTCGCTTGTCATTCGAAAGTTGCCTCTGCGTGACATACATTTCATGTGTTAGAGAAGCGCAGCTTTTGTGGAGTGGATTGCCCGCTGGAGGCAGCCCCGCACTTGCCACATAAAAAGAGGCAGAAGTTGGAGAGCAGACGTGCCGCATGTTGCATTATTCATGCTCGCACCTGAAAGAAACACGCACACTAAACAAATGGTGACCCCAACGAAGACGAAGACGACGATGACGTTGCGTTTAATCAGCATATTATCAATGGCATTACTCATTGTTTTGCCGGCACAACTGGACGCATTCATAACACAAAATGCAGGTAAGCAAGCAGCTGCGAAAGGTGTCGTGAAAAGTGTATCAAGGAATTCAAAGAATAAACAACATTTGCATAAGTGTGTTGAATAATTTCAAAAGCCCAAACGAATGTCACAACAGGGTGTCCAATTGAAAACAAACTTACAACTAGCTTTAACAATTTATTAGATTTTTATGGCTTTATTTCAGTCTCCAGTTTTTGATTTAAATTCTCAAAATAAGCCTCTAAAACCTACAATAAAAGCTTATTATTTAAATAACTATTAAGCTATAGAACTTATATCTGCAAATAGAAATGCTTAAATATTGAATGGGCATAGAAGCTCTGAATCATTATTGTGTTTTCTTCGTGCACTTTTCGATGATTAGTTTTTTTTACAGACCTCCTGCACTTTCCATTTTTGTTGTAGATTAACTTTGTTGTATTTCCCAGCTAGCTTTGCAGCAGCATTCAAATGAATGTCCGTTTGCAGGATTTCGTAAAAGTTTCAGTACTACTTCTAACTTTGCACAGCTCACATCGTCTGATCAAAATATTGCTAGTAAAAGTAAAATTAATTTTTTGTAAAAGTTTCAATTCCACTTTGTAACGTTTCGTTTTCTGGTGTGTGAGAATCATGTGGGCACAGCAGTACAACGTGAACTTGGGCCAGCCACAGGGCCCATACCAGACAACCGTCTACTTGCCGGTTTCGCCACAAAACCTCATGCCCGAAGCAATCGGCGCCGGCGTCCTCAATATGCCGAATGCCGGGCCGGCACAAGCCTTCATCGTTGTCACCCATCCCCAGGGTAATCATGTTCAGCCATTGCAGGTGGCTCAGTGGGCTCAGCCGCAGCCGCAGCCACAGCCTCAGCCACAGCCACAGCCACATGCACAGTGGGGCACTGTAGAGCAGCAGCAGCAGCAGCAGCCACAGCCACAGCCACAACCACACTGGTATCCACAGCCATATGTGGGACCAGGAGTAGGACCGCAGCAACAGTTTCAACAGCCACCAGTTCTTCCGGCTGAGGGGGAGCCGAGCTCGACAGATGAGCATAAGGACGATAAGGAGAAACCCAATGGAAAGAAGAAGCAATATCGCTATGGAGCCTCGCCCGAAATGATGCGCTCGGGCGCCGCTTTTCCCTCCTACTATGTCAACCCCATGAAATTGATGCATCGCTACTATATGGAACAGTAAACGGAGGGCAGGGCGAACAAACTTACAATTCAACCATATGGCAGGATTCAATTTCTTTTCTTCTTCAGTTTTAGGCGTTCTCTGAATATTTGTTAAAGCACGCAAAATAAATTTGAGCATGTTAAAAACAAATCCCACAAAACTCCACCTCTTTACAGGCTGTCATCACAATGGCACTTGGTTTGCGGATAAATCTCTGGTGCCCACAATGGAGAAGTGTCTGAATTGCCAGTGCAATAAGAAGACATTGGTTTGCCGCTTGAAGGTGTGCCCAGAAATGCCGATGCCACCGCCGCGTGGTTGCGTGGTGGTGCAGAAGCGAAACACCTGCTGCCCCTACCTATCCTGTGCCCGACTCGATGCCTTCTACAAAATCCCCACCAAGCGACGCATTATCGCCTATTTGGACCACTATGAGCGGGAATCTATCGATCGTGTCGTTAACGATAACATGCTGCAACGACGCTCCGACGATTCGGAAGTCGACCTATTTGGTAAGCTCTATTTGAGAACCAATTAAATGAAATTGCTAAAAGAGTCTACTTGCAGTATGCGTGAAGAACGGCACGGTTTACAAGTCCGGATCGGCCATGTCCTCTTCTAATTTATGCACTTACTGCTATTGCATTGGTAAGTTATCTAATTTCTAAATTTATAAATTAGTTAGAAATTAACAAACCTTCTTCCATCTTTCCAGGTGGCACTGAGAAGTGCGTCAAGCCCAAGTGCATGCTGCCAGTGGAGGGCTGTAAGCCCATTTTTGTCGACTCCACTTGCTGTCCAGTGCGGTACGACTGCAGCACCAAAACATCGGGCAAGTCCTCGCAAGAGGTGCGTTATCGCAAGAACTCGAACAAACATTTTCAGCGCATGTCGCAGCGCTTGCAACGAAATCGCGGCTGTACTGTCGGGGCTCAGTTCTATGCTGAGGGCCAGAAGATGAAGTCGGATGTAGACAGACCCTGCGACATATGCTTCTGCATACGCGGCACGCGTCGCTGTGCTCCTAAGAAGTGTGCGCCGGCGCTGAAGAATTGCATACCAGTTGTGCCGAAGGGCCAGTGCTGTCCCTCGAGCTATGATTGTGGCAGTCAGCGGGACTACAGACGTTCCCAGAACTCGAGGCAATTCAATTTGTACAATTTATTGTTCGGCAAGAACGAGAAAGAGGGCGCCAGCACAGGCACTAACGGCATGGCCGAGCATTATCCGCAGGACAGACATCCTACGGAGGCGTCTGTGGGCGATGCTCCGCAGGCCAGTAGCGAGAAGAGCATTTTGGATACTCTGCGAGAGGGTCTGGAGTTCATCGATGGCAACAACAATCAGATGTTGGCAGACAATCTGGATCTGCTGGCACTACAGGGCACACCCACCCCGAGCACGGAGATGCCAGCGACCGCTGGTAGCAGCAGTAATGTTAGAAGGGAAGAAGCCAGCAGCACAACAGCGCTGAGTTTCCTGGACTTGCTGCTGGGTCCGAGCACAGAAAGTGTGAATAGCGTTGAACAAACAACCACCACATCCCAGAAACCACTCTCCTGGATGGATATATTACTGGGACCCGACGAAGATGATCAGCAAGCAGCGTCATTGGAAGCCTCAGACTCCAGCACAGAGTCAGCAACAACGCCAGCAAACAGCATCAAACGCATCGCCGATGACTTCGATGAGCAGCTGGCGAGCGGAGAAATTGCCGTCGGCGAGCTGCCGGCCGAGGCACAACAAATAGTGTTGACCAACTCGTATGGCACAGGTTTCCAGAAGCCGAAGAATGCGACGCTGCCGCCGCAACCCATAAACCCAAAGCAGCCAGCCAGCTTAATAAACGCCTTCCTTGAAGGCTTCTCCGATATGCTCAATGAGCCCAGCAATGGCACCACCACTACAACAACAACTAGCACAACAACAACAACCACAACAACATCGAAGCCACCTCTAACGCGTCCGCCACCCATGTTTAGACCACTGCCTTCCACCAAGCCGCATGTACGCATCAACTCCAAGCTGGCCAATTTGACAGTAACACCACCTATGGTCACGACAAGGTATGGCCAGCCTGTTACCTACAAGCCGCTGCCCACTAAAAATCACAAGCAGAGCACCACCAGCACTGCCCGACCGACAACAACAACCACCACCACCACCTCAACCACATTGAAGCCAAAACCGAAGACCACAAGGCGAACCACAACTACAACCACAACGACAACCAGCACCACGACTACAACTCGCAAGCCAACCACAACAACCACCCCCAAATCAACAACAACAACAACAACCACCAAGAATCCCATACATTATATCATTACCAGCACTTCCAAGCCACCGCTGCTCATAAAAACCAATCCCAGCATCTTGGAATCCGAGCCCTTGGACACACAAACGCCCACTCTGCCACCCAGCTTGCCAAATTTAAAGATCATACCCTTCCTACCCACCGATGCTGTGAACACATCGCCGAAGCACACCGAACAGAACTACAACTACTATCAGAGCAAGCCCCTGCATGCCTCAGCCTCAGATAAAATCGATGCGATCTATGATGACACGCTCTACGAGGAGGCAGCTCTATATCCGGCCCTAACATCGGCCCAACCCATTCAGCAACAACAGCCAACTCACGATCAGGCTGCCTACAAATACAAGTTCAAAATCGAGGGTCCAGATGCTCCGCCCGAGCCAGTGATTAGCTTGGGTGGCAAATATGAGGGCAGTGCTGCGTTCGTCAAATACGATTTCGATGAGAAAATGCCAATACGCAACGGCTTTTCACCGCCCAAGCAAACCGAAGGTGGTTTCATGCCGAAAGAACCACTAGTTATCGATGGTGAAGTCCTGCAGGATCACGTCACACAGAATGTGCTCCACAACCTGGCCGAAAGGTATCAAGTGACGCCGCACATTATTGACATAACGACGCCGGATGAGGGAAATAACACAACTGTCGTGGGTAAGCGCAGTAGCAGTTTATTTGTAGATTGCAGAATAATTAATTGGCTTGTAGGTATTTAAAGCCGTTATAGGAATATCTACTTCGGCTTTATCTTTAAATTTATTTTAAAAACTATTTTCCGTCGAATAGGGTTGAGTCCAAAGATAGTAGTCCTTTTAGATAGTCCTCTTTTATTCTAACATTTTCTTTACAATCAAATTATTTGTTATTAGTGACTTCTAGGGATTTTACATCTAGATCATTGAATATCTAATTGGCTTTAGGTATTCAGAGTCGTTATAGGAATATCTACTTCAACTTTATCTTTAAGAGTATTCAAAAAACAAAGTTTTCCGTTGAATAGGGATGAGTCCCACTGGCTAATAGTTTGGAGCCATTAGATAGTACTCTCGTTTCATTCATTTTCTTTACGTTACATATATGTTTTCAGAATCCTTAGTTTATTTGAAAGACACCCCCGATCTTATTATACTATGATTATTTTTTGCATTCCTATATTTAATTGCCGATTATTATTAATACCTCTTACCCATCTGGTTGAAACTTAAAGTACTATACTGGTTCGTTATTTTCAATCAATGCAAGCTAATCTCATACTCCCATTATACAGTTTTCAATTCCCTCCACAATAACGCTGGCATCTTATAAGCCATAATATCTGAAGCTAAGCTTGCTGCTCCATCATATGCCTCATATTCCTTAATCAATAACTTATAATATTGCGTGTTATTAGAACCAAACTATTTTCTATTCCTCTACAATTTTAATGAACTAATAATTTACATAAATGCTCGCTTAACGCCAATACAGAAATCACCACACCGGACCCCTTTAAGGATGTCATACACACCGAAACGCCGCCAAATCTTCACACCTTAATTGAGGATAAAGAGCACAATAAATCGATTGAACGTATCGAGAGCAGCACCAGCAGTCAGACACATACCGTCACTGTCAGCTTTACAAACTCCACAGCAGAAGCAGCAGCACCACCACAACCACCACCAACAACAACAAGAACAACAGCAGGAAATCACAACCTAACAGCCTTCGATAAGAGCGAAATCAGCAAATTGGACAAGCTTTTGGATGAGTTGCTGGGCGTGGAGAGCAGCACGGTGCCGGCTTTCAAAACGTTGCCCGAAAAAAAGAAGCAGCAACAGCAATCGGGCGAACTATCCGCAACAATAGCAACAGTAGCTCCAGCTACAACAAAAACAACAACAACAACAACTAAAAGTGCGACAAAGGCAACGCCAACACGTGCCAAAAGCAAAGGCAACAAAACGAAACCGAAGCAACCGCCAAACAATCGTCGCAACACAAGCACCGCAAAGCCGTTGAGAACTAAAGTCCAGTCGGCCACACGGCGACCCGCAACAGTTGTAGCGCCGACAGGTGTTAAAACCAAAACCACGCCAACAGCAATAGCAACAACGACTCCCACAACAACAACACCAACAACTAGCACAACATCTGCACCAGCAACAACAACAACAGCAACAACAGCAAGAGCAACAATGATGACGACCACGACAACGACAACGACAACTTCCAGTACAGTGCATCCATTTTTAATGTCACCGTTCGACAAATTGCCCTTCATGGACACCAGCTATGAGGTGAAACCGCATATGTTGCAACCACAGCAACAACAACAACAACAGCAGCAGCAATTGCAGCTAGCTGAACAAGAACAGCAACCACAGCAATTTATTCACTATCAACATGCCCATTTGGGACACAGTCCAACGCCCAATGAAGCAACGCAGCGTGTTGTTGGTGCCAGTGCTGGTGTTGGGGGCGGAAGTGCTGGAGCAGGGGCTGCTGCTGCTGCTTCTGGTGCTTCTGGTCCCTCTGGTGGTGGTGGTGGTGGGGGTGGGGGTGTTGGGGACGCATTGAATAATTTAATCGATCCTACTGGCATGCTCAAATTAGCGGGCTGCAATATATACGGACGCATGTATCGCGTGGGTCGCATTATAGTCGAATTATCCAGCCAATGTCTGGAATGCAAATGCACTGAGGTGGGCGTCAAATGCGGCCCATTAGACTGTTAATTTAAGCACCTCTCTAAGGCCCCTCCCCCTCCCTTTACCCATCTCTCTCAGGCACTCTGCATTGTGCGCCGTCTGGTTTGTGTATTTTAGTTCTCTGACATTTAGCTCTTTAGTTAACGCCTAATTACGCATTTTAAAAAAAAAAACAATATATACGAGTATGTAGAGTGTAAACGAACTTTCCAGCATTTACGCTAATCTCTAACTAGATGTTAAGCGTATTTTCAAATATAACATTAATACTATGGGTAATTTTTAGTTGCGTAGCGAAAATGTAGCACTAAGTTGTATTATAGACATAGACATTGATTTAACGATATAACTAATGTAGCGAAAGGCATTTAAATTATATGAGTAACAATAAAATATTGCGTAGATGAAATAAAAATATAAATAATTACAAATAAAAGTGATTTGTTTTCTTTGGAAACGGGCGGGAAACATCATGAATGAACTTTTTCTAAAATATTCAAAAAATTAAAAATGTACTTTCTATTGCAGAAGAACTAGTGTGTTTCTTTAAATGTTTATACGACGATTGGAAAACAAATAAATGTGCGTAGAAGTGTAGATTGATTTCTAATTTAAAATATATTGCACAATAAACTATTACTATTACGATTAAGGAACTGCTTTTCCGACTGCAACCAAAACGAACCTTCCTTCATACTGGACAACAATAATAGTAGTGGAGCCAGTTTAGTCCTTTAGAAACCTCTCAGTACAATATTCAATAAACTTATCATTGTTATTGTCTATTATATTTATGAAGTTCTTGTTGGATATTTCCTTAGCTCTTGCTGTTTCGCTTTTATTCCTTTTACTGTTAGTTTCTACAATGACTAAACTAAACTAAGAAAAATATATGACAGGCTTAAAAAATTAATCTATTGTTTTATTATATGCTTAAATGAAAAATATTAATATTTTATAATCGGTATTGCATCAAAAAAGTTGAAAAAGAATTCTTCTCACGACTCAGTTGCAAAAACTCATCAATCCTTGGTGAATTTCCATTAAAGGACCACACTGGACATTTTATTTTGGAAGTTTTTAAATATCGTGTCTTCACTAAGCTAAACTAAACCTGATTGCTGAGGAGCCTCTATGTCAATCCTTCTTAACAAATGCAATTTAGTCTGATTTAAAAACAAAAAAAAAAAACACTTTAAAAGTCTAACTACCAGCTGCAAAAAACTGAGCCGTAGTGCAAATATTTCATGAGTAATGCGGAATGTAGACATTTAAAAGCGTATTACAAATTGCAGTCATCAATATTGCAGCACAATCCACAGTCAACTTTATTGGCCAATTAGCTGAGTGTGCACGAGCGCATAAAATTATTTATTTATGAATCGAGCATAAAAAACCAATACAACTCGCATAGGTGTAAAAAGAGAGATAACGGCGCCTATAATTGAGGAGGGGGATAAATCATAAATATATATGTATAAATATTTTATGCAAAACGCACGACAGCCAAAAACATAAAAAAGGGAAATGCAAAAGCGTTAACCATAAATGTTACATGAGCCGCCCAAAAAATAAATCCCAACACAAGCGTTTTCCGCTGAGCAAACAACGAACGCGCGACTTGGATTGAATTTCAAGTGATTCGCCATTTATTGTTCATGTTAAAAAACTAATTTAATATCTAAATTGGTTGGATTTTTAATTAGCTAGCAATCGAATTACATTCAGAGGCAATTATTGTTGCCGGTCTGCCAGCAGCACCGGGGTGGTCGCCGCAACCGGCGATAAACGATGAAGCCACAAACCAGGCCCGCCACGCCCCCCGCCACATGCGCCTCCAGACTGATGCGCGGCTCCAGATTGTGCTTAACGAGAACATGAAATATTGTGTGGCACACATCGCCCAAGCACAAGAGTACAAAGGCAGCTATCCGCACATAGCGATGCGTCAATTGCGAGAAATTCTAAAGAGAGGAAAACAAAATAAAACACGAGAAAAGAATTTAATTACAAAATTAAATTGCGGTTTGCATGCATTGGTGCGCGCGACTGACCTTAACCAGGTGCGGTATATGGCTCAGCAGCATGGCATAGACGCCTCCAGAGGCCCCCACGACCGGCATATGCGGCTTCAGCCAACCGCTGGCCAATGAACCGCAAACGCCGCCCGACACATAAACGAACACCAGACGCCACTGACCGTGCTCCAGCTCCAGGCAGATGCCAATAAAGCACTGACAGAGACAAAGAAAACAAATTGGATATGTAAATAAAACGCAGATCCATGCCACGTGCTCTCCCAATAACCGCTTCTAAATATAAAATGTCATTTCGATAACAAAGAAGGCAACACTGTGCAACTTATTTTTACACAAAATGCAATTAATAGTTTATAGGAAAGAATCAGAGTTGAAAAAACACATAAATAAATCAATTGGATATGTAAACAAAACGGAGATCGTTGCAATGCAATACACTGATGCTCTTAAAACATACTTTTCTAAATATAAAATAGCATTTTGATAACAAAGAATGGCTTAGTTTCAAAAATGGGATTCTTAGATCTATGAATTTAAATTGTGGTTGAAAAAATAAGATTTGGATAACTTTACATTACGAATAAAACATTAAAGAACCTCCAAATCGGGATTAATATGTGCTTTAAATCAAGAACGATTTCTACAACATAATTCCAATTGTAAACTTCTCAAACGAAAGCCAGTTGTGTCTAAAATGTTTACTACCAATGGCAATGGAAAGCAGCTTTCAAGAAAAATAAATAAAAAAATAAAGTATTTTAATCGACAGTCCTGAAATAACTTTATAAATACCTTTTTACATTTAACATTTGAAGCTATGGGGCTTGTATTGTATTCAAAATCTAAACGAAAAGTGAAATTAAACCGTGAGTTTATATTATAGATGTTAAACGCAATTGTCTACATTGTTCTCTTTTATTTTTAAATTGTTTGTAAGTCTTGTAAGTCTTCTTGTCAGTACTAAATATTTTCCAGAAATAATTTTATAATTTAACACTTAACATTTGATGCTATGGGTCTTGTGAATGAATACGAAATTCATGATCTAAATGAAATTTGAAATGTAACCTTCAGCCTATATTGTAGATATTACTATAAATTCAATTACCTTTTACTACATTTTTCCCTTTTATTTTAAAATTGTTTTCTTAATAAGCATTGCTTATATTTTGTAAGACTTGCTGTTAGTGTTAAATATTTTCCAAAAGACAAATCTCACACACTTCCACTTAAGATTATTTGTCTTAGCACCTTACACTTTTCTATAAGTTGTATTCACCTTTGGGTTGCTTTAATAAAATAAAAGTGTGCCAAAGTAAGAGCTTTATAGCTGCTGTTTGATTAGAAACACGAAATATCTTTTTTCGATTTTTGATTGATCCCAAAGAGCTGATTAATTTGGCAACCTTATTCGCTTACTTGCGGCATCAATATCGCACGCCCATCAATTCGCTGTAGTGCTTTTCAAAGAGTTGTTGCGCACTCTTAATTGAGTGCAATAGAGCAATGAGCTGTCGGTGACCCACTCACCTGTAGAATCACATTCATCCACAAATGCCATTGATCGGAGTGCACGAGCATGTAGCTGAGGAAACGCCAATACTCGCGCTTTAATTGCGGCTTGAAGATCAATTTGGCCCACAAGTCTTTGGAGGCAAAAAAGTGCAGCGTAATCTGTAAAAATAGTGTAGAGCGGACGTTTTTTATAGAATGCAGGTAATGGATGCGCTGCTGCGCACTGACCTTAAACGACAGACCCAATTAACACACACAGTCACAGGCACAGTCACTGGGACAGTCACAAACACACAGCAATCTGTCACTTTCGCTCAGCGGCAAAGTGTGAGATTTAATTGCGCCTCACGATGAACGCCACAGATGACAGCAACCGCAGTGTGGCATGGCGGTTGAGGCTGTCACCACAGGCGAGGCGGTGACACTATAGCACCAGAAAAAACAACAACAACAACAACGTGCATAGTGATAATGCAAACACCAAATCGGTGCAATAGCAGCGACAAGTTGGCATGCATCGCACCAAATATGACAAATGCCAGTTGCAACATTTGGTGGCAACAGCAACTGCTTATGTTGCCGCTGCTGCTCTAAAATGGCAACAACTTGGGCTCAGAGATTGTGCAATAAACATTTTTAGCCCCGTAATGAATATGGTTTTGTGGGTTGACAATTATTTTAATGACATTATTGTGCGTATGCTTCAACATTTCAAATATGTAAGCAACAGATATTATTTAGTGAGGAAAAGTTATTAAGAGCTAGCAGATGAATGGATTAACAACATTGGTTGTTTAGTTTTCAACTTATATTTTATTTTTGGAAATTGACCTAAAGAGTAAGCCCTAATGCTTAGAATAAAACAAAAATCAAAAGAATATTCTAATAATTATTTTTTGGCATTAATGTGAGTTAAATATTTCAAATATTCTAAAAATGGGTTAAAAATTAGCGTGTAAATGAAAGCTATTTGTTGCAACTATAAAAAAAAGAACACTAAGTGGAACAAAATAAAGTTCATTAAACGTTTTTTGGCAATCAAATTATATTTGTTTTATTAGAAAATTAACAAAAAATTCATTTGCATGCTTCATAAATATAAGTTGCCATTCAAAGCAAAGCAACCAAAACCACAATACAAACTGCTTCAAATATTTGAATTCAATCACATGGATATAAAGAGGTTTTATGAGCGTTGTCGTTTGTAATATAGCCTACAATAAGTTGAATTATTATTACAAATCAATGTTCAACTTGTTGCCAAATTCTCGAATGATAAGCTACGGCACTTTACTCGATGGAAAACCCCCCAACAATTTACGACCCACAACAGCAATGAGTGCTAAAAATAAAAATCTCTTTGTGTGCATAAAGTTGAACAAAAAAATATAAATCCAATGCCAGAAAACAGCAGCAACAGCAAGCAAACATGCATGGAATCACAGCATTATTATACACAAATATATATACATAGCATATACTATATGTGTATGAAGTCTGAAACATAAACAAATGCGTTATTAACCGCAACAAGAACTTATGTTTGTACAGCAAGTGAATCAAATGGAGCAGAAATATGGGAAAGATGACTAATGTATGTATGAAATGATTAATTGTAATGCAACGGAAACTAATTGTGTGTGTTGCTAAGAAAGTAAATTAGTTGTATTTATGTAGAAGTTTGATAAGTGCTCCGTGATAAACAACTTATATATAAAATGCATTGCCTCGCCGGTGACGAATAATGTTATAGGAATAGGTGAACCATTCTAGACTGCAATAAGCCATAAGTGATCTTATTTCTCAATTAACATTTTTAAATACTTTTTGTTTACATCAATTGTAAGTTGTAAGTTGGCTTTGATTGCCAAGTTAATCACTCTGTGATTCAGTTTTATAAATAAACAACCAGGTGCTTGCTGTTCGCCAAGGAATTGTCTTCATTAATTGCAGATACTTGTAATTAGAAATGCAGATAAAAAAGATCTTGAGACAAAACTAACATAATAGATGTCTCATATTAAGCATAATTTTGAATAGATACCTTTTTCAACAAGCAATATTTATTGCTAAGCAATTATTTGCTTTATAATTATTATTACTAAGATAGAGTGCCTGCTGGAAATAATGGATTGTGAAATAAATAGGACTTTCTCACACACAAAAAGTAGTAATTAATTAATGTTGCAACAGCAAAAAATTCAATTTGGCAAATAAATGCTGTAAAACTGTTCAATTTTCAGCATACTTGTATGAGTTATTTTTTGTTTTCTTGCCATTACCACTGATATGAAGAAGGTAAAATGCGCACGAAATGGAAGTGAACAGCGTTGAGAAAAAGGCAGAAACAAAGAACAGACACAGAAAACAGGCACACGCTCATAGCCAGGCAGACAGACAGACGAAATGAAAGTAATATAGCGCAAGCAGATCACTCATACGCCATGTTGCAGCATTCACAACAATTGGAGCAACTGCACGCTACGAGTAGTACCTGAAGAAAGCACATTAGGAAAATGAACCAGGGCACACGCCATAAACGTCGACGCTCTGTCAAATCATCAATGAAAATTTTACAAAGTGGCGCAGCTGCGGGCATTGTTGTGGATGTTGGTGATGAGGCTGCCGAGCAGACCGAGGATGAGGATGAGGATGTGGATGAGGTAGTTCTAGGTGTTAGCGTGACGTTGGCATCCAACTCATAATCATCATCATCATCCTCGTCTTCATTGTTAGCCCTTGCTGGCATGGCATTGCACTTCTGCAGCAAATGTGCTGCATCACTTTTGTTTTTATTTTGTTTATTTATTGTTGACATGTTCGGTTGTTTCTTATTTATTTCTTATCAGCCTTAAAGGCATGCACTTTTATCAACGATCAACGGTACTCGTATTCGAAAATTTCACGCACGTCTGTTGCGTTTAACGTTAAGCCCACGACTACAAGCGAATTTGTATTGAACGTTCAGTTTTTGCTTTGTTTTATATCAACAACAATCGATTATGGATTGGGCGCCAGTCAGCCACAATGTAGCAACAACAAAAACACCAAAAACAACAGCAACAACAACAGCAGTAGCAGCGAACAACAAAGGCGCTGATTTATTATATTTCAAAAAAATTGCAGCATACTTTTAGGCAGCGCGCTTAAAGTTATTTTTAGTTTCCAATGCAGTTTTGCAGCGCATCTGCGATGCTCTTTTGCTTTTGGTTTAGCCATAGCTATAGCTTTCGCCTTAATTGCTCATATCGTCCACATTCCAGTTCACATCACGCTCCGCACCCACAAACGGAAATAGCCTGTTCCGCACACTGCCAGCTAGCCAGCCAGGCAGCCATTGATGTCTGGTCCGGCAGCGACAAGTCACAGATGCGTTTGTCGTGCATGGTGGCCGCTCAAATTTCAGCACGTAGCGCTTTACGTGTGCTTCTACATGTGTAGGTACATATGTATGTACCTTTGGCATTAATATGAAACACAACTGCTGCTAATGGACTACATGCGATACATTCGAAGCGTGTGCACACGCAGTTGTCACTGTTTGTGGAGATTGCTCGACAAGGCTGGCTCTCATCCCTGAAGTATTGTGTCATGAATTCTAATTCCACACAGAAGGCATTCGTACATTTCAAAGCAAATGTGATCTCAGGTCAGGAGAGGGTCTTTAACCAACCAAGTCCAACAATTAAGTTCCTTTCTAAATCAAGATCGCCTTCACTGATTATAATTCTTTCTAACTGCCAACTTGCAAAAAGATCCAACAGACTCGTTTGCTGCAAGCTATGCAAGCTTTCCAAATCAGTAGTAAGTAATAATTAGTTCTTTATTATTTTCCAACCTTTCCATTAATTTAATTAAATAATTCACTGTAATGCAGTCTTGTGGTCACTAAAACTGATTTGCGAAATCAGCAACGCATCTTGAATGTTCAATTACCATTTCTATCGATGTGGAGGAAGCCAAAGCCCTTTAACAGCATCAGGCACCAACTTGCCTTGGCATTTGACATTTCATGCATTCAGTGGCCATCGAAGGCGCTGTAATGCTTTAGACGAGTTGCAAAGCACACAACAACAAATAAGGTGGAGAACTCAACACGCGCGACTCGCAGAACAGTGGAAAATGTTTACACAAAGTTGTCGCCCCCGCCATATTCATATATGTTTGTGTGTGTGTGTGTGTGTGTGTGTGTGTGCATATGTATGTTAATGTGTGTGTGTGTTGGTGAGTGTGGTGAAAAGCTTCAGCCGGCGCTCTCGCATTGCCAGCACACGTGGCCAAATGCGTTTCGGCCAAAAGAGACGCGCCGCGGTTATGAATGAATTTTAATAAATTATTTATGTAATAGACCATCCAGCCACTTTAAAGCTACAATTTGCAGCACGACATGGACAAGAAGAACCGCACGCCATTCAACTAATTATGCGCCACTTAAGCTTTGTGCCAGCCAATGAACTTTTTCACTTTATTTTGGCCGCAGCCAGCCAGCACAGGCAATGGCAAAGAGATAGCATTAATGAACCCTAAGTCAACTGTACGTGCTGAAGCCTTTAAGACGCACAACAACAACAACAAATTATTAGGCAAATGAAATGAAACCGTTTACGGGCCAAGACCAAAATACTTACAAGTAGCTAGACAAACTTATCGGTATGTTGCTTATTTACTTGCCACTTGGCTCACAGCTCAATGCGAGCGGGAAACGCTGAAAAGGCACAGAAAGTAGAGGCGATAAAGAGTAGTGCATTAGCTTGGATTGCCAAATGGCTGTTCTTGCCACGAGGCATGGTTGAAAAGTTGAAAGGCAAAGCTGACGATGACCTCCCTTCTCAATTTCCTCACATTATTCCCTACTAACCAGCATAGATAAAATTTTGTATTCTATTTGAAATACTTTGAAAAAGTTTACGAATATAAAAGACGCCTGTAAAATTACAATCCGCCAAATAAAAAACATTTCGATTATTTCAAATGATTTAGGAACGTTTCTAGAAAAAATATACGGTACAATTAATAAGTATTAATAATAGAATAATTAATATAACAGCATATATTTGCTATTGACCTTTTAATTGTTTTGTAAATAAAAGATAAAAGAACCATTAAACCTTCTAAACAGTTTGATACATTTGGATTCGATCGTAAAACAAAGGCCAATAACCAGTTAATAATATAAAAATTTTAAAGGAGAAGAGATTCAAAGCTACAAAATAACGAAGGCGAAAAATGATGAGATGATCGGCGGGCATGGAATTCAGCAAACAAATGATTGGAGGCGACAAGAACGGCTTCAAGAAGTGCAACATAAGGCTGTGACGAGCAGCATTTGTATCAATCGATGAGAAGAGACAGACCCTCTATCAACTACGCGTAGATGAGTTCGCCTTGAGTCGCAGAACAGCGCAATTTAATGATTTTGAATACCTTTTGTAATTGCAAAGCTCGTATTATTTGTATTCTTTTTTAAATATGAACTCAGCTAATAAACAGCACCCCACATATAATGTTTAAGTTAGTCAAATATTAAAAGAAAATGCATCCAATGCATTCGTCAACCCATTGAACAGCCCTCTCATTGGGTAATGCGGCTTTATAACTGCCCGTAGGAGCAGGCGGTTTTTGTTGGCAGCTAGTGCCCCAAACTTCAGGGAATAGGCCGCATTGCTTGCCTTTGCAGCTGCTGTGGAAAAGGAGAAAAACATTTAAGCAAATCTTTGTGCGAAATCTTGAGCAAACAAACTCATTATGACGCAACACACGAAAAACAAAAAGGAAAAAACGAAAAGAAAGGAAAATGGCGAGGGTGGACGCCGAGCACTCGAAAGTATGCCACATGATTGAGTGGCAGAGTATGAGGATATGTTTGAATGTATATGTTAAGGACATAAGTATAAATACAGCAAGCTGTGTGTGCATCTCAGGGGTCGAGGGGCGTGGGCAGCAGATTTCCGCTATTTGTACGCACTGCAAGCCCATTTTGGTTTCAGTTTATGAGCGCTATTTTATTGATACCGCCAGTGGGGGCGAATAAAAAGCGAGTTGGCCATAAAGCTACCCAGCAAAGGGAACAAGACGAAGGTGCTGCGTCTGCTATCTATCAGAGTAGAGAGAAGGGCGTGTTTATTACAATCGCCGAAAGCGAAACCAGTTGAGAGGCGCCTCACTAATACACATGTTAAATTATATGCTCGGCTGCTTTCGGGCCAAATTTAAAGACACTTCAAGCTCAATGATAGTTGGCTTTTGTTGCCGCTACTAGAACTGTGTGGGAACAAACCCTAACTGTGATTTAAAATTGGAGCTAGTTGTGATTTTACAGCTTTTTTAACAGCTTTTCCCTAGTATATAGTCAGTGTGAAGCGCGTGAAAATGTCACAAAATCGAATAGCAAATATATTATTTACTATTATTTTTTTAATGGAAAATTTTTTGCAATTCATGGTTTACTGTGAATGTAAGATCGGCAGATGCTTCTGCTTTTTGTTTCTCAGCTTCAGCAACCAAGGCTGGGACTGCGTTCCCTTGGCAAATATTACCAGACGCCATTTCATTAGTTCTATGAACATACTTATATATGTGTGTGTGGGTGTAAACATATACATATGTGTATACATACTAAGTATATAAACGTGCTACAAGTATATATGTATACGTAAGTTCGCATAAGCCTCAACGCCGTTTGTTTGCCAACTTGTACATACTTGTGCGTGCCTCAGTTACAAACTCAATTATTAACTAAACTAACGTACGCAACACCTTAAACCCAAGCACACACACACACACACATACAAACGTACATATATGCACGTACATGTACATGTTCATGTATATACCCCACCATCCATGTATTTAGTTGTAACTCTCAGCAGCAAGGCTTAGCATTTGAAGCATCAAGGGAAATTTTCATTTTATCATCATGTTGTTGGCATCGCCTTAGCCTTCGTCTTCGTCTAGCTTAGTTATGTTATTGTCTTTGTTTTATATGCCCAGCTAATTTTGTTAGGGGCTCTGGTTTTAATTGGTTCTTCCCCACAACCACTGCAGCCAGTGCTTGGCAATTTCCTTGGAATGCCAGCCTGAACGCATTAAGTAATAATTGTTTAATTAGCAAGTAAAATGTTATGCAACAAACACTTACTATCTGCAGACAACGAGCTTCATTGTAACCATCCACCTATCAGAGCGTCTAATGTGCGTAATAAAATTGTATAATTACGCATGATTTGTAATGCCATTGGATTCAAATATGGCCGCTTTATGGCGCAAAGGCTCGCCAACAAAATTAAATTAGTCCTCATTGGGGAATTTTGTTGAAATTTTTGTTCCATTCTATGCTTTTATATGGGCTCCCAAAAGAAAGTAATATCCTCAACAAGGATCGACCAACGCAGTTCTCTCAGTGTACACACGGCTGACATTTAATAAAACTAAAAGCATTGACTATCGGCTTTTATGGGGCGCAGAACTCCGAAGATATTTATCTTAAACATATGCGCATTACGAGCTTAACTGTCGGCACAATGAAACCATTTTCAATATGCCAACAAAAGCAACAATAATAACAACAACAACAACAACAGCAACATCCACATTAGGTTCAACAAATATTAACCCTTTTTAGGCGTGTGTACATAGTTAGGCCAAGGGATTTCAGTTTGACGCGTAACGTGACAAGTGCCAGGTTGTTGGAGCGGCAGAAAATCGAGAGCTAAAATCGAGAGTCAAAATGATACAAATAATGAACTGGTTTTCAATGGTGAGGGAGAATTGTAGTTCTATTAGCTCTCGTTTACTGTTGCTGTCCATATTTGTAGGCCATCGGTCTCATACCCTTAAACCGTCAAACGGCCAAGTCAACCAACGCCATAGACTATGCCATGATGGTTATTGTGCCGTGCTTCTATCTGGCCTGCTATACTACCATTAACTTCCTGAACCTCTACGGTCTGCCCTATTTGTCGACCTGCAACAGTGTCTGCAATCTGAGCAACAAGCTATTCATGCATTTGGGAGCCTTCCTCTACGTCACCATCACACTGTGCAGCCTGTATCGCCGGAAGTTCTTCTTTTTGGAGTTCAATGAGCGACTTCAGGAGATCGACGCCATCATACTAAAGTGCCGCCGGGTCGCCGAACTGGACAAGGTACGCGTCACCGTGGTCAAGCACAGTGTGGCCTATCATTTCACCTGGCTGCTTGTGTTTGGGGTCTTCAGCTTTGCGCTCTACTATGATACGAAGGAAATGTTCGGGTAAGGTTCATACTTCCATATATATATATTTGAATACATATATACACCAGACAGAATTTAGAAAATGCTGTGAATTGTTAGCTGCTTCATACAAGTATTTGGCTTTGTTTTGTGAAAATATTAGCGAGCAACAAGTTTTCTTGATCTGACACATTCAAGCAGTATCCTTCAAAAGTAAACTGCACATTAAAAACAAGTAAAAAAGCTAAAGTCGGGTGTCCCGACTTCGAAATACTCTGTACATATGTTTACAATAATTATAGAAAATAAAAAAAATTAAGAAAATAAAAAAAAAAATTTGATCGATTTTACCTCTCTCGGTATTCGAACTCACGTAAAGGGTGTATAATTGCACATTTACATAGCAATTGCGTTTGTGTGAGTGTATGTATGCCTATGCGCATCTATTCGTGTCTGTGTAAGCATTTTCGCAGTCAACCAAACAGCAACATCAACAACAGCCGCGGGCAGCGCTTGAGCAGCGCTGCAGCAGCGCTGCATCAGCAAATATATTTATGGCTATAACTTCTTGTTAAATCGGTCTATCATAATGAAATTTGGCATACGGACACATAATAACTAACTGGGGGTATTTCCAAAATTTTAGTTCGAAATTCCAAGAATTACGGGAGTTACGATTTGCGGGGTAGAGGGGGGAGGGAGGGGAATTCCAAAATATACATTTTCTGCGTATTCACATAAGGCATCTGGGACTAAAATTTGGTGTTCCTAGGTCTTATAGTCTCCGAGATATAGGCGATTATACGAATGGAAAATCGGGAAAACCCCCATAGGGGGGAAGTGGGGGGGAAAATCAAAAAAATAAAACAAACTCGTATAGAATACACACATAACGCATCTTCGTGCAAAATTTGGTGTCTCTATCTCTTATAGTCTCTGAGATCCAGGTGTTCATACGGACGGACAGACGGACAGACGGACAGACGGACAGACGGACAGACGGACAGACGGACAGACAGACAGACAGGGCTAGATCGACTCGTCTCGTCATGCTGATCAAGAATATATATACTTTGTGGGGTCTGCCACGCCTCCTTCTGCCTGTTACATTTTTCAGCTCCCGCAAACCTAATATACTCTTGTACATTTCATGTACAGAGTATAACTAGCCTTTTTTCCATTGCCCACTATCGATCAGTACTATTTTGATTAACGCATTTTCAAATAAAGCTAAAGCATTTAATAAGCATGCTATCATTAAATTATTCGAATAGCGTTTATATTTAATCTTGTCTAAAAGTGTGGATGGATTCTATGCAAATCGCTGATTAAAGACCCATTTTCCTTGATCAAATAAATCGAACTTCATTTCATATCCTTTAATAGCATTTGAAGCTAGTGCTTTTGGGCATGTTTCCCAATTTATTTTTGATTCACAGCAATGATCCATATCTAGTTGCGATTTATAGGAATGGATTCAGAGATCGAACAATTTTTACTTACTGCGATTTTCCCATGTTTTCCCATGCTTAATTAATAAAAAAATCGCCATAGAATGGGATATTTATTTAAATTCTTAAAATGTTGTTTAAACGGTAAAAGAATTAAGTGAATTCCAATACTCATGTATAAATAAAAATCTGTAATGGTAGCTCTTTAGCTTTATCGCTGAACATTTGAGTGATTTTCTGTGTTTTCTTGTGTGTATCCGGAATATGTTGAAACAAACACTTCGGCCAATAAAGTGTTGACGCAATGGGTCTGCTGAAAGATTCTGATATATAGTAATTGTTTGGTAAGAATGGTTAAAAAGTGCACTTTAAACAAAATGTCTGAGGCACAGAGACTTACCTAGCTACTTCTTTTAGAGATATATATTAGTTTAAGAGCCAACTCCTTGGTGGTTCATTATTCACGTGTATAGTTTCTGAAGCAGAAACATTCATTATAAAATAAGAAATCATTGTCTCTGCAACACAAACCTTTTCATGAAACTCAATGTTCTGTAAAGTATTTTCGGAATGTGTTCGAAATCATTATATGAGTGTATGCCAAGCTTAAGAAGATTAAGGCTTAGAACCATCACTGGTTGAGTTGTCCATTTTCTCGAGACGCTCACGTTCTTTTAAGCGGAACTGCTTGCGCTGAGCCTTCGTAAGGTTAACTGGCTGGCGTATCACCAGATTCTGCTCGCAATAATTGTTGGGATCGTAGGTTCCAACATCTGGGTCATCATCCCACGATTCGCCGACTGGCAATAGGGGCTGCTCTACTGGCTTTTGGACCATTTGTTGATCCTTGAGCTCGCTTAGCGCCCTCGTATCGCACACATTGAGGTGCGTTTCCATCTCACCCGGCGGTATAATGTGTCCCTCGTTGTGTGGGCAGCGTACCTGAACATTGGGATGATTGCGTTGGCATCGAACCAAGTGAACAATGAAGCGTTCCGCTTGTAATATGTGGTTTTTGTCAAATGGGCAGGTCTTTAAGGAGCTCATACTAGTTCAAAAGAAGATTAATATTGAGATTTGAGCCTTGCGTTGCAACTCGACAACTTACTTTAGGCTTTAACGGCTTTAAGGCACCAACAGCGAATAGTGACCAACAATACAAGAGATCGCAAGTGATCTATTTAATTTGGAGCACAGTTAATTCTAATCGTTTTAAGTTGATTTTTCGATTAGTTTGAAAATCGATTAGTGAGACAATCGAATAAAAAATCAGCTAGCGAAGAATATTTTAGTTGATTCTTCGATTTTCCAAAAAAACACACGACTGTCGCAACTTCCAGCTAGCGAATGATTTTAAATACACTAGAAACTCGAATACACAAATTCGCTGCCTGCTACGATTTTTGAAAAGATACTTTTAGTTGGTTTTTCGATTTAAAACAAAAAACACACGACTGTCGCAACTTCCAGCTAGCGAATGATTTTAAATACACTAGAAACTCGAATACACAAATTCGCTGCCTGCTACGATTTTTGAAAAGAAACTTTTAGTTGATTTTTCGATTTAAAAAAAAAACACACACGACTGTCGCAACTTCCAGCTAGCGAATGATTTTAAATACACTAGAAACTCGAATACACAAATTCGCTGCCTGCTACGATTTTTGAAAAGAAACTTTCAGTTGGTTTTTGAATGACTTTAAATAAACTAGAAAATCGATTACACAAGGAAATAGAAATCGAATTCACAAGAAATTACATGTTGCTTTGTAATGTAATTAAGGAGTATTTAGTTGAGCTAATCCGGCATAGTTTGCTTTCCACTCGATGGAAGGGCTTTGTTTCCGCCCAAATCTTCAGCTAGCTGTGTATTTGGATCCTATTTTGATTCTTCATTTAATTGACTGCACGCGTTGCACGCTCAAATTAGAATACGTATGTACTCTAAAGCTTATTCTACTTACATATATCTAATTCATTCATTGATTAATTCAGTATGGAAAGTGGATAATTCACAATGATATTAATACTAGTTACAATAATTGGCAGTTGGTTATTGTTTAAATTCAAATTTATTAATTAAATGCGCTTATGGCCGCAACAGGCTTATTAAATCCATTCACTTATTCTGGTTACTTATTAAATTGTTTGCTTGCAGCATCTTTGGTCAGTTCTCGTTTGTATCGCTGATGGTCACCAGTTTCCCCTTCCTGGCTGGCAGCGTAATACAGGGTGAATTCATCTATCATGTGTCTGTCATATCGGAGCGTTTTTCACAAATAAACACGCTGTTTGAGAAAATTAATCAGGAGGCGCGCCACAAGCAAGCGCCATTGACCGTTTTCGATATTGAGAGCAATGGCGAAAAGCAGGACACTAGGGAGGCCACAAATGCCAATGGAGACACCAAGTTGGCCGATGAAATGAAACGTCAAGTGGCAAAAAAGGATAAACAAAAGGACAAAGCAGAGTCGGAGACAAGCTCTGATGAGGACGATGAGGATTTTGACTATGATGATGCTACAATGGCCGAGGATACAGGGCAAGCAGCAGAACTGTCATTATTCTTAAAGTATTGAAATTAAAGTTTGCCATTATAGCAACACTTCGGAATCGAATTTGCCGGATCTGTTTAAGCTGCACGATAAGATTCTATCGCTCAGTGTTGTGACCAACGGCGAGTTTGGCCCACAATGTGTGCCCTATATGGCTGCTTGTTTCGTGATCAGCATTTTTGGCATATTCCTCGAGACCAAAGTCAATTTTATTGTTAGTGGCAAGGACAGGCTGCTCGACTACATCACCTACATGTATTGCGTTTGGACCGGCGTCACCATGCTGGTGGCCTACATAGTCCTGCGCCTCTGCTGCAACGCCAACAATCATTCCAAACAATCCGCCATGATTGTCCACGAGATAATGCAGAAGAAGCCGGCCTTCATGTTGAGCAACGATTTGTTCTACAACAAAATGAAATCGTTTACACTGCAATTTCTGCACTGGGAGGGCTTTTTTCATTTCAATGGCATGGGACTGTTCGCCTTGGACTACACATTCATATTCTCGGTAAGCGTCTAAAACGAATCGAAATAAATGAAATAGGAAATCACTTTCTTGATACACCTTACAACTTGTTATTGTGTATACTTTTATGTCAAAAATGCTTAGCTCACGAACCAATAAATTAATAAAATTATGTAACATATTTCGTAAAATAAAACATTATCTTGGAGTTCCTATAATTCATAATTTATCATATTTCACTGTTTACTATTCATTTATTCTATTATCTTCGAGTTTTTTAGATCGTATTTCGGGAGTACTTGTAATTAGTTAGTTTATTTTTTAAACAAACGACCTTTAAAGCCTGCTCTTGAAATGCTCTTAGCTTCCTTTTGACTGATTTTTGCATGCATTTTTCCTCTTAAATGATTCGTGTGCTTTTTTTTGTATCCTTTTCAGACTGTCAGCGCTGCCACATCCTATTTGATAGTGCTGCTGCAATTCGACATGTCCACGATATTGCGCAACGAGGGGCTGATGTCGTAGGCCGCTCGCAGCTGTCTGCTCCTATTATGAAGAGGCGTGACGCGGTTCTCACTCGATTTTTTCCAATTCATTTCAATTGCAGCACTGACGCGCACTTAATTGCATCAACGTCCAACACTTAGGGCTAACACAATTTTATGAAATGTCAATTGAAACATGATTTGTCAGGCATAGACGAACTCGTAGATGGAGGGAGGCAGTCATGCTGATTTTGCGGCTTTTCTCCGGAAAAAGGAAAGCGGCCATGACGCTGGAAATTGTTAAAACAGCATCAAGCCAGCAGCAGTAAAGTGAAAATTCGCGGTCGTCAAGATGGAAAGCCGAGGCGTAATTTCCGCTTTGAATCGCATTAGTGGGTGTAGGAAATTTGTGCGGATGCTTAAGTTGGATATAAATTGTTCCTCTTTTTTCTCTTGTCTATAACTCACATCGTGCTCGTACGAAATTTATAACCAGCACTTAATTAATTTTTCATTAAAATGCCAGCAACGTGTCAAATAAAATTGATTCTCTTCCCATATGTGCATTGGATATGTGGCGGATTCCATATACTCGTAGTATGTGTGTAGGTGTTGATTGGTCATTTTAGCCAGACAAAGTGGGGCTCATATTACAGGCATTGACGAGGCTGGCGACAACGGCAACCACTTCAGTCAACCAACCCATGCCATTAATCAATACATGCACATATCAATTTATGTGTACATATGTACATATAGACCCAGCAGTACTGTGAATAGTAATTATCCGCTTTTTGATAATTATTTCCGCCCTCAGCCAGAACGTCCCACATCCTGCCTCTAGTCGTCCCTAGAGGCAAAGTGCGGTTCTCTGAGGTGTTGGGCTGTCCCTCAGCCAGAAAGCATAAATAAAATGTATATACCCCCCCAAAAAAATGAAGTAATTTATTAAACCATGAAAGCAACCAGTAACTACCAACCTCTTTGCAAGGCTTCGGAGCACGGTAGGGTACACTCATATACTCTGGGATGGGGCTGGCCAAGGACGCGCAACCTTAACAGCATTGTCGCTTCTTCCGCTGCTCAAGCATAGCGCACATAACAACATACACACACACATTACCTGCAAATTACGTCAACACAACAAGCTGTGTGTAAGCGTGTGTGTGCAAGCATTTGAAAAATAAATAAAGGCAACGTGACCAGCGCTCAACGATGGAGCTACAAACTAGGCAGCTGAAGCTGAAGGAAGGCAGCAGTGCCGACGGAGAAGTGAAATGTCAGGACGCTTTTAAGAGTTCATTTAGCGTGTAACAAATTTTATACACACCCACATTCACACACACACACTCACACACACAAGGGCGGGCACTCAATTGACGTGCGAAGGAAAGAAGCGCAAAAATTCCAACAGGTTGTTGTTTGAGTAATTGAGGCTAAAATGCAATGAAGAACTGACCCGACGACATTGCCTCTGCCGGTTGCCAGCTGCCAGTCTGTGTGTTTGTGTGTGTGTGTAATTTGGTTTGTAATTGAAAGATGGCAGTATATGTGTGTCTGTGTGTGGTTGTTGGCAAATTCCGTTATTTATACAATACCACTCTGCTAAGTTGAAGGTTTTTAACCTCAACCAACATAATCGAGTTGAGGTCAGAGCAATGCTTTTTAAGCAATCGATAACACAATTTTTGCAACTGTAACCGACAATTACTCGTACTTTCCCACTTGGCATGAATAAGGGTCATTTAATGTTTCCCGTCTGTTAATCTTTTAATAGGTAGTCTCTCTTGTTTCAACTTCTGCGCTTAATACATAAATACTCTGCAATTCACAAAAATGCTCAGTTCAATTAGGCTTAGGTTTTGTTCTATTGCGTTATATCGTGTTTTATTGTGTTATATTTATATTGTGTTATATTCCGTTACATCGTGTTTTATTGTGTTATATTTATATTGTGTTATATTGCGTTATATAGAGTTTTATTGTGTTATATTTATATTGTGTTATATTGCGTTATATCGAGTTTTATTGTGTTATATTGCGTTATATCGTGTTTTATTGTGTTATATTGTTTAATATTTTGTTTTATTGTGCTTTGTTTCTTGTGACCAGAAATTAAACTAATTGTGATTGGGTTAACATAGCATTGATTAATATTAAGTGTCATGTATATAGCTTCCAGTATAGCTAATCTAATCTAATCGCTTCATAACCGCGATGTAAGCAGTCTGTGTACTACACATGTAAAGTCTTCTAGCCCATTCAATGTGTATCGTGTCAGACTTCTTTCCAAGTTGGTACCTGCATGCGAGTCAGAGATATTACGCACGAAATGAGTTATACTTTTTTATCATACCGGTATCAGCATCTAAAAGGATGGGCATTGCCTGAGTTAGTATCCGATCTGTTAATGGTTTAACAATTAAACTCGATCAGAACGGAAAGTGTCAAATTCATAAATACCCGTGTGTCCAATTGGCGTTTCATACTTAATTTTGGGAAAGCACCTTTTTCTTCTCCTTCTCGTTCTCCTTCTCCAGTTTCTCGTGACGGGAACGCTCACTTAAGCGAAACTGCTTACGTTGCGCCCACGTAAGGTTTATTGGCTTTCGTATTATTAATGCTTGCTCACAACGACTGGTGGGATCGTAGGTTCCCTCATCTGGATCATCGTCCCAGTTCTCCCCTTTGCCAAAGTACGGTTGCTCCTCAGGCTTTTGCTGCACTTGTTGGTCCATCATGTACTTGCTTAGCGCCTTCGAGTCGCAACCTTTTAAGTGCTCGTCCATCTCACCAGGCGATACAATGTGTGCCGCATTGTGCGGACAACACACCTGAATTGTGGGATGGCTGCGACAACACCGCACCAGGTGCGTTATAAACCTTTCTGGCCGCACCTGGTGCATTTTATCATACGGACACTCTTTTAACTGTTGGTTGTTGTCCATTGCTATTTAAACTTATTGGAACGAAGAAATTTAGTTCGTCAGATATGTAAATGCGTCCTTTAGTAATACCCGATAAAGAGCTTCAGGTTTTTTTTTTCTAAATTTGGAAATTTGGAAAAAATACTTGTTTTCGCAGTAAACGATCACCGACAACTGAGAAATACATTCAAGTGAACTGAAACACATTCAATACACAAATACGTTGAAGTCAGTGCCTACTTTGATGTCACGTTTTTGTTTTAATTGGCAGCCAGAATCGGTTGAAATAGGTTGGAAAATAGGCAATAATATTAAAAGAATTTTAAAGGCAAGTACTTAATTTTATAAAGTTTTTATTCATCAACTATGCTTTTGATTGTTTGCTGTATAGTTAAATGTAAGGAGCATGTTCCTCCTTAAAATACTAGCGGATTGATTAGATTTGATTAGAGATTATATGGTAGAATTCGTTATAATTAAAACACAGAACACGAAAAGGAGAGTCAACTGCAAACTTTAAAGTACAGCGATAATAAAATAAAGCTAGTCACTAAAAGCATATTTTATAATGAGGAGTTCTCAAATATGCTTGAAAGTCCCACTAACAAAGACAACACTGCATACAAGTATATGTGGAGAATAATCTTCATTTGACAGCACTGGCGGCAAAAGCTTTGCCACAGGTGTCTGTGAAATAAGAAAAAGTGCCTGTTATAGCAAAACATAGACAAAGAGATGGAGGGAGGGAGACTGGGAGAGTGAGAGCGCCAGCCGACAAGTGTGGTGAATACGAAGCGGGATTTATGCTCTCAAATGCTCACATCCTTGAAACCGCCACACACACGCACAAGCTGTAAACAAATGTGAGCGGGTAGGCGAGGTGTGGTGAGGTGAGGTGAGAACCTCTTGCCATGGACAAGCGAACGCAGATTGTGCGAGGGCTTTACCAGACTCTTGTCCTAACGCGAAATCAAATCAACTGATAACAAATGTTGGCAATATGCGTGAGCAAGACAGGCGAGAGAGCAGCGTGGAGAGCGCAACGACGACCGGACGTCGGGACGACCGGCGGACGACGACACGAAGTGGCACATTTTTGAACTTTTGTGGCAACGGTCGAGAAAGGATAACGAACAGTTCGTGGCGGAGTTGCAAATGCGTCGGTTGTGCTTCAGCGGCAAAGAAAAGCGCTGAAAAATGTTGTGAAAAACCAAACAACTACTACAGCAACAGTGAGTGAGTGGTAGTTGTTGTTACTGGCCATGGTTGCAATAAAAACGAAACAGCCCACAAAATTTATCTACATGTCCAAATTTAACAACAAAAAAAAAAAAAAACAAAAAAAAATGAAACTATGATAAAATTGAGAATGACAATTGTCTGAAATCAAATAGAAAATTATGAAAAATTATTTTTAAAATAGAAATGCTGGAGCTTTAGTTGAAAGGATGTGCCATTAAAAACATAAAGCTGCGTAATTTGTTGGGATCAGAGACTTGTGTTGAGTAACAAGCGAGATTTGCCTTTTTGCGTGGGCGAGCATGCAATTTGAAAAAAAATAAAAGCTGTACTTACAGGTTGTTGTTGTTGTTGTTGTTCTTGTTATTATTGTTGTTGTTACTGCTGCTGATGCTGCTGCTGTTGTCGCTGAGACGACTACCGTTGCCTCTGCTGTTGGCCATGAAAATCAAAGCGTAGCAAAATTCGTGTCTATGCCATAGGTGGCCTGCCAGTCTGCCCGCTTGTCTGCCTATCTGTCTCTCTGAGTGTCAGTAAGTGTGTGCAAGTGAGTGTGTCTCTGTGTGTGTGACTGTGTGTGTGTGTGTCTGTGTGCGAACTTCCTGTTTCCTGCGCTGCGTATTTCGCCAGCATTTCAACTTTGCCTTTCATTTACAACAAATTGCTTTTAATTCTCCTCTCTCGCACGCTGCTTGTTTGCACCTTTCAGCATCATTTTAATTTTCCGGCTGCAAATTTGTAAAACAACAAAAAACAAAAACCATATAAAACGTTGCCTTCTTACGCTATAAAATGTTTACTTATATTTGTAATTAACTTGCCAGCCAGCCAAAATTTATTAGTCCTCCTTGTTGTTAATGGGGCAACAGGTTTTAATCGCAGCAGCCAACCGTAATAGCAGTAACAGCAGCTTCAATTAGGCTTTAATAAGCCAGCAGCTATGGCGACAGTTTGCAGATAATAAATATTCATTAAAATTTCAGACACCATTCAACATTTTTGTGCCGCCATTGGCATCTTAAAGTCTAATGCACACAGTTTTGTACATTGATGTAAGCTTTACTCTACAACTTTCTATGCCAAGCAACAACTTGCTGCTACCTTTTTGGCAGCTTCTGTAGCTAATATGGCTCATGGCAGTTGGCTATTAATTGAAAGACTCGCTTGTCAGGCAAATTGCGTGAAGATTCCAAGAATTTCCAAAGAATTTTCCCCACAACCTGCTGGGACAAGACGTCCAGACGTTAGGCTACATATTCCTTACACAATGCCTTAATAACTCAACGCAGACATGTGTTAGAAAATATATTTGGCCTTTTGTTCATCTTGGCTTTAATTTGGCAAGCACGTTGAAGCTTCTAGCGAGCTTTTAAAGTGTTCTTCAAGGCCATCAAAAACAAGCTTAAGAAAAATATGATTGTAATAAAAATGCATTTAAACGAGTAAACTATTTTCTTAAGTTCTTTCTGTATTTTATTTTGCATAAAATAAGTAAACCGTTTCTGATAAAAATGCAAGTAAATAGTTTCCTTTTTAATCGATATACAATTTATTTGAATAACAACATTTTTTATTATAATATAAACTTGCTGCACATATTAAAAATGTACTTCATTTTACTTTCTCCTTTTTGTTATATTGAACAACAATTCTTCTTTGTTAAAGGATTAATGCAATTTTTCTGAGACTCAAATTTCTATGGCAAAAAGTAACTTGCGAAAAGTATTTTAAAACCCAGGAGATAGATTTGTATATAATTGTAGTTATGTTCCTATTCTTTTAATAGTCATGAGTTATATATATAGTAAACTATGCCTCGCTATCCGAAAGAGGTTGGAAATACAATCATTTGATGCTTCTATAACACCACATAATTATAAATGCTATTTGAATATGTTTGAATAATGAAAATAAACTTTTCAGCCTTTATTAAGAGTTTTCTGTTTTCCGAAAAATGCTTGATGTTCTAATTTAAAATATTTATACGATTAATTAGAAATTAATTAATTGGAAGCTTAAGATACTTAAACGATTATTAGAAATCTCAACTAGTCATTTGATTCATACTTTATATTTTAAGTTAAAATGGATTCTCCGTTGAATTTTCGAAGCTCAAGTAGCCTGTGTTCCATTGAGTTGAATAAGTCTTATAGGAGTATTATGTTCAGTTTTTGCAATTATCCCAATTGAAATTGTTCTTTATGCTCTGAGTGTAACAAAACAAACACCAGATTAAGCTGTTAAATCAAGCATGAAGAAGAGAAGCTATAAAGCTGCTGAAATATTTGCCAAATATTGTATTTCTGTCCACATTTGCGCTTTTTACTTTGTCACAAAGCCTGATGTAGTTATCAATAATTGAAAATCGACCACAAAGCTCACAAAACCATTTGGACGTATGTTTTTCGCAATTCCACTCAAAGGAATAACTTTTAGAAAAAGAAAACATAGCCAACAAATGTTGCCACAAAGTTATGTCCAAGTTATTCATTTGAAGCCAACAATAAACAAAAGTAAATACCACAAATTCAATGGACAACACAAGGGCAAATTAACAATGGACATTTATGTATATATTATAATTTATTTTACATTGGGCCTATTGAGTCGAACTTAAGGCACACACACTAATGTAAAAGTGCAGGCACCCCTAATGTCCAAAATTTAAATATTTCAACCCACATTTTCTCTATTCCCTGTATTAGAATTTGGCAGCGTAGGCAAATTGAATTATAACATGCAATAATAACAGTAAAAATAAAAATAAAAAATAACAACCGAAGTCGAAATATAGAACGCAGCAAGAAAAGCCGCCAAAAAAAAGAAGGTAAAGTGAAAATACCAAAGCCAGTGTGAAAAAATAACATAAAAGCCGTAATAGACACAAACAAACACACATACATATGCACATATAAGCATTTATATAAATACGCCAACACGTCGGCAACAAAAACAACCACAAAGGCAATACAGCGTCTTACCAGTTTGAAGACGACGACGCAGTATCATGATTTGATTTTTGGGTACAGAGGTAAGCGCTACATTTGTACACATATATATATATATATATATATATATATATATATATATATAAGTATATATATATATATATATATATATATATATATATATATATACTATATGTATACTAGATGTATGTGTAGCATGTAAAATTATATTTAGCGTACATTTTCGGTTTCTATATAAAACTCGATTTGTTGTACATAATTGAAAGCGCGTTGAATTATTTACTTGATGGATTGTGACGTCGTCCACAATACTTTCCGGGCAACAAGCAACATTTGCCTGCGTGGGCTGTGGCAGCCATAACTTTGGCACGCCCTTAAGCACTTTTAAGCCCAGCCATTTAAGTTCATTTAATAAAATTAAATGGCTTTAAGGGCAGCCAATTTAGAAAAGTGTCTGTCGCCATGGTTGCGCCATACGCCATGAGTGGTGATGGTGTCGATTTAGAACTTTTGCAGACAGCTCTATAGTTATGAAATCAATATTTTTCCATTGACTTTTGAAAGGCACAAAACTCACCTAAAATGGCTTAAATGTGGTCTACTGCGGCGCTTTAATATTTGGATAGCAATGTTGTTGTATGAGCTTTTGAAAGGCACTAGATTCATCTGTCGCCTTGAAAGATTTCCGGATAGGTCTATCATTACAAAACCAATATCTTGTATTCATATACATATAATTCATCCAATGTATTAAACAATATCTTTAGCTAAGTGTGTCTCTTAATTTATACCAACTATTCCAAAGATCGACTTGCTCTAAATGGGCATTTTTAGCATTGTGCTAAGTGGAAGCAGTTTATTATAAAATTATAGTTTGAACTTTAAATAAGGCGTGTTGTTATGTATTAATATTTCTTTATATCTTGACTAAATTTGATTAAACTTAAAGGCTTGTTAGTTTTTTTAAGGGAAGCAGATCTACTGATAATAATAAAATAAAATTCAATTTCAAATTCAAGTCTGTTGTAAGCAGTTAGGTGCTTGTAACAAAACAATGTTATTTTGAATATTTTTTTTTTAAATTTAATCTTTATCTTTATTTGTAACTTAACAAATGAAAACTTTAGTACATATACCTACTTATTTTATATTATAAATATGACAGACTATCAGTTTCTGTTAACATTTCAAGACTATCTTTAACAGACGGTAATACCTTCTGCTTGCCAGCAACGCTGCGGCATCAGTGGTTGCGCTGAAAAGTATGCTATGGCATTTGACAGACTCCATTCTCACGTTCAGTTTAATGGCTTTCAATAGGTTTTGTTTATGCACATATGTACATACTGCTCTTGCTGCTGTTGTTGTTGTTCATTCACCTTTTTAGAAGCACACTCCGTCGCATATTTTACACTTGAGACCAAAAGCAACCACAACCGCAACCACCATGTCTATAACTTTCATTGTGGCTGTGCAATAGCTCAGTTTTAAGTACATACAAGTATAAATAAATATTCAGTATTTTGGGCTTTTAGTTCACTTCACATTTCATATCAGCTTCTACATAAGTATTTGCATTTCAAATACTCGGGCAGAACGAAGTTTCCGACTTGGTCTATTGACCCTGGAGACACTGAACTCAAGGTGTATAGAGAGCAGGCAAAGCCTGCATGTTTATGCTAATGTTAAATGCATAATCAGTGTGCCAGCATATACATTATTTATAAACTATTGCTTACAAATATAAACGGGTTCATGTCTCAAATTATAATATCCTGTCAATTCCAATTAAGTGCGATAAATGCAACTTATGTAATTCAAATTCGTTGGCAATTGTTGCAAAAATTAGTAACCCTATTCATTGAATATTAATTAGCAAACCAAATCAAACACGCCACAGTACACAACTTAATTAAAATGCATAAACCCACACAGTTGACCGTAAAATTAGCAGAAATTTAATTATGTTCGAATTGAATTCGGTAATTGTGCGAGTATATTCATACTTATGTGCTCGCATGTAT